GTTCAGGGGATCAGCCACACAACTTTGCAGCTTTGGCTCTCTCCTGCCCTGGTTAGCTGCCTCCTGTTGCCACTCAGAGCCTGGGGATGACCTCCCAAGCCTGTTGCCAGCCCAGGACTGCAGCAGTTTGAGCCAGGGTAGAGCAGTGGTGGGCTGGCAGGGAGCATGGGAGTCAGCCCCAGGCTCCAGGTGATAGCAAAGGTCAGTGAAGGGGCTGGCTGGGGCATGAGGGTCAGACTCCTGTCCTTCAGGCTCCCTCCTCCCAGCTGGTTGGGCTGACCAGGCTGACCATGCACAATTTGCACCCAGCAATCATTGTCTACACATGCATTTAACGGTACATGTTTACTCTGCCGTAGGATAGTACTTGTCACCTACAGTACTATCCTACAATGGAGCAAGCTGGTTGACTGTACCATAATTCCAGTGCACATGTCAACAGTGATACTTTCCTATGGAGCAGTGTAGTGTAGTCTGCAGTAGAAGCGCACATGTAGATGAGCCCAAGGGGTATCACTTTGAATCACTGTTGAGAGTTGAATAGTATATAGTTTTTCATTCAGTGGCAGTGATTCTGTAATTTGAAATGATTTTTTTTCTTTCCTATCACTCACTTTGAACACAGTTTGTCAATTCTGGAAATTTCTGTAAGTTGATAGCTTGTCATCATTGCTACAAACACCCAGCATGGAAAAACTGCATTGCAAGAAAAGGCAAATAATGGTGTCACCCCTTTGTTAAGCACCAGGGCAGTGATCCTTAACCAGGGTGCCACAGCAATGTTAGCACTGTTAGGCATGCAAAAATGATTCACAAGATAAACTCAGAGATTTCACATAGAAATCCATAGTATCAAAAACAGTTTGACCTGTTGTGGGCTTTCTGTGTTCTTTGCAATAGAAGAATGGCTCTATTATTGTTCCATAGCCAAAAAACCAGTGCAAACTATGAAATGGAATTTTCTGAGGAGGTTTTTGAGTCTAACAAGGAGTGCCTTGAGTCTAAAAAGGTTGAGGTCCACTGCACTAAATGTTATACTATTCTCTTTCTCCAACACTTTGTGTAGCTTGCCCATTTAGATTCTTGCCCATTAGACTCCAAACTCTTCAGCGCAGAAGCTTTCTGTTATCATGTGTGTGCTGCCTGTATGGAGTAAGAGTACACAATTCACTTCGTATAAGAGACTTGTCCTGTCTTTGAACATCACCAAGATGAAGGTTCTCCACCAACCTTCCTCAGGCCAAATGAACATCCCTCGTGTTATCTACATAGACGGGGAGGCTCTGGAGTATGTAGAGCACTTTCCATATCCCGGCAGCCACCTCTCTCAATGGGCTACCATTGAGGAAGAAGTCCAGCACTGGGCCAACTAGGCCAATGCTGCCTTCTTCAAGCTGTGACAATGTGTCTTCAAAAATAGAGACCTTTGGAAGTCGACAAATGTCCTGGTTTACAGGGCTGTCATGCTGACCACCCTCCTCTACTTCAGTGAAACCTGAATCATTTACTGATGCCACATTAAGACCCTTGAGAGCTTTCACCAGTGGTACTTGCGTCAAATCCTGGGGATCAAATGGAAGGACCGCCGGACCAGTTCAAGTGTCCTCCATGAAGCTGCGTCCACCAGCATTGAAGCCTTGCTCATAAGAAATCAACTCCGATGAACAAGCCACTGCAACCAGATTTCTGAAAACCGCCACCCTCACTAGATTCTCTTCACCCAGCTCTCTGTTGGCCAATGCTGAAAGGGTGGCCAAAGGAAACAGTACAAAGACACTCTCAAGGTCATCCTCAAGCACAAAGGCATCAATACCAATGGCTGGGAGGAGCAAGCTGCTGACTGTTTGGTGTAGCACCACCTGGTCCACCAAGGAGTGCACCACTTCAAGGCCCAACAACTCAATACTGAGGCGGAACGGCGGCAGTGGAGGAAGGAGAAGGAGACCAACCCAGGGCTGTGAATCCCACTTCCCTGTGCAATATGCCCCCATTGCCAAAGAATGTGTGTATCCAGAATCGGGCTCCTCAGTCACTTGAGGACCCATCAAGCCTGACAGACATCATCCTGAACTCCAAGGGACTGCTGGTGGATGGATGGATGGCTGCCTGCATGGAATAAGACTATGCAATTTGGATTAAATGTATAACTTTATGTTACAGTAACAGCAGCAAAAGAAGTGTATAGTAACTATCAGCCATCAGTAACTTTGCTATATAGTAACTATCAGCACAATTTTCAACTTGTTTTGTGATCTGTGGAATTATTTTAATATATTAGCTGAAAGATAAATATGAACAATATATACAGAAATGAAACTACCATACTGTAGTGTAAATGGCTCTTAAATATGCACTTATCAGACCTCCAATATTGCAAGCACAGTTTAACCACTATGAAATATAAATATTCTGTACCATACCAAGTTGACTGATCTGGTTTGCATACTGCCTAAAGTAATTATTGCATATATGAAGAGACAAGACCCTTACTTAATCTTTTAGAACCTTTATAAAACTTTATTAAATTATGATACCACATAACTCTTAAATACTCTTACAGAGTTTGGTTGGGAACATTTTAAATAAATAAATGCAGTTGTACCATATAAAGTCCCCCTGATGATTCAAGACTCTGTTAAAGAGACATTTAAAGAGACCTTTAAGTCATCCATAAAACTCACAATGAAAATAAGATATCATACCTACCAAGTCAGCTTAGGAGTCAATTATTCTCTTACCTTGTATAAATAAAAAAACCTCTTCTGCTCTAAATGAAGTTTCAAGAATAAAAACAAACCAAAGTCCCTGTTTTCAAACTCTTCCTTGTACTTACATTATTTAAAAAAGCCTTTCTTACAATGAAGTGTTACAAATAGTTTAATATAGAGATTTTTTCTCAATATATTGGGAATCAATATAGTAAGCTATATAATCATTTGTTTGAGAGAAAAGGAAATGAAATCTCCACAAGGTTCTCCACAATCATTTTCTGCAAAGGTAGAGGTACTCCCTGCAGCCCAAAGAATCTGGATATGTGGCTAGGTACCAACCTTTGCAAAACCCCCAAGATCCTTGCAAGCCCTTGTGCAGGTCCTAACTGGATCACTGTGAGGCAAAAAACTCTCTCATGCCTGGCAGCCTGGCTTCTTTGGAATTGTTTCTCCTGGTTCTTTGTAAAATTGTTCCAGTGGAGCCAAACCATGGACTACATTTGACTACAGATCTTCCCACACCTATGAACAGATCCACTACCCTGTCATTCTGAGCTGACCTTTCTACACTCTATGAAGAACGAGGCATTTACCATGCCTATGGCCTTCTTACCTCTTGCCCTCTCACACAACACCAGCCTGACCAACAGTTATCTTATCATCTAAATGGGTCCCCAGAGGTAGCAGAGGTAGCCTTAGATTAGTATTCAGACTAAATGGACACCTATACATATGCCAGATGCTGGCTCCAATCTATGCTAATTAGTACGCATCAGAGCAGACTTGATTAATCAAGCATGTTCATTAATGTGCTTCAGCAGCCTCCATGTTCCTGGTGCCTCCCGAGTCTGGTGGGGGTGGGGGTGGGCAAGGATCCACCAGTGGCTGGTCACCGAGCATGCTGGCAGGACGGCAGTCATGGAAGTGCTGGAGTCAATTTTAGGAGGGGGGCACTAGCACTCTCCATGCCCCCCCACCAGCCAAAGTGCTCATTGTCAATGCTCCTGGGGAGGGGCACATGCCCCCTGTGCCTCCCATGTGTTGCCTGTGCTTTGTGTCACATGTAGTTAGTGTCCCTGTACTTCGCAATGGTGACAGGAGTGCTTGAACTAAAGTTTGTTGAACAAGCTTTAGTTCAAGCGCCTTCACTGCCATTTGAAGCGCAGAATACTTAATACACATGATGCTGCAGGCGCTTAAATTAATTAAATTAATTAATCTATGCTCCATCCCAAAGCACATGTATAGATGTTCAATGTTTTCATCTTTATGGCTAGAAACCTTGGCCTTACCATTAAATTAAATGTGTTGCAATTTCAAACAACAAAAACAGCACCACCACCACCAAAACCCAAATATTCCCCATCACAATTCTGTTATGTTTGTGATAAAGTATGTAACTTAGGATAGAAGCAAGGAAATTTAGAGCCCAAACTTCCATTTCATCATAAATGCATGCTTGCCTAAGTATAATAGAAAGCATTCTGCTCTCACTTCAGATCATTGTATAGCACTAGTCTAAAAGCAGTGTGCCAATTTAATGCCAGAGAATTTGGTCCGTTGTGTCTATTTCCATACAACATGCTGACTATGCAATCATTACTATGTAGTCATTTAGTACTTGTAACCCAAGTTACTGCACAGTAGCATCAACGAACGGCTTTTTGGTGACACTGACTGCACAGTAGCCTGAGCAGTAGCGTCATGTCATGGTTGCTGCCACACGATGCTATGCACAGTCTGGGGCTACTACACAGTCAGCATCTCATGTAGTCATGTCCTATGTTTAAGATCTTCTTCTGCCATAACTAACAAGACAAGGAGTAGTACTCTTAATTCTCTATAAACGTTAACATTCGTTAGATCTCAAAAGTACTGAGTCAGTTGTCTGAATAAACTGTATTGCCTTTATAAAAGTATATTTTGATAGAATGATTTGAGCCAGACATAATGCAGGTGCAATTTCAACATCTTGTGCTGCACATGTAACTCCATTATATCCATCAACACTCTTACTACTGATGTCCTACCAAACCCTGCCTATGTGCTTTTGTTGTGTATAAGAATAAACAAAGATGCGACCAGAAAACACACTTCACCTCTGACCCAAGAAAAGATTTGGGCCTGAAACCTCAGAAGCTTCCCCAAAACCTTAACGTTCAAAGAAATTAGTCCCCACAGAATTATCAAACCCATTCTTAAAAAGAAATTTCAGCAATCTTAATTTTGAGCATAATACAAATAACACTTTTGGACAACTTCTTTTATAACACTTAACTGAATTTGTACTTACTGACTGCTCATTTAAATCTTGAGAGTCTTCCATGGAGGTTACTCACTCTTACTTTCCTCCTCAAACAGAAATATCTTCCTTTTAAATTACAACTGGATGTTCTAAATTTAAAAAGAGAGGAAGAAAGGGAAATGAAAATGCATTATTCTTTGGTTCTTACTCTTAAAGCATATCTATAGCAAACAGACTTTCTGGATGAAATTCTGGTCCCATTGAACCTAGTGGCAAAGCTCCCACTGACTTCAGTAGGGCCAGACTTTCACACTCCATGTTTCAACGTGGCTTTTCTGAACATTCAACTATTTAAAACATATGAGCAGACTTTTAGGGTGCTTGAACATGAGTATGGAGGCTGCTCCAATGTGCTGTAATTACAGCATGTCAGAGCGTGGTAATTACCACACTCCAGCTAGCCTCCATGTCTCATGTATCAGCATCCCCATGTTTCAAAATGGTGGCAGGGGCACTTTAACTAAAGCTCATCAAATGAGATTTAGTTCAAGTGTCCCTGCTGCCATTCTGAAGTGCAGGGACATTGATACACAAGATGCTGAAGCACTTTAATTAGAACAACTCTCAGAGCCATTCTAATTAAAGGGCCCCCATTCCTATCCCAGATCATTTGTAAAAGTGCTCATAGGTAATAAGTTTTCAACCTCTACCTGGAAAAAAAAACGTTATGAAAAAAACAATTGAAAAGCTAAAAATGCTTAATACATGAAACGGTTGAAGTAGAGAGAAAAAGATAATCCTTGGGAGAAAACATTAGATAGTTATCAAGCACAGAACAAAAACACTTAATACACATTTAATGATAACCTCTTAGCCAGTAAGCATCTGGCAGAAAAAGGTTATTATGTAATTATCAGCATGAAGTCCTCTCTCTGAGGTCCATGAAATTCCTTCAGGATTAAACAAAATGCAGAAAGCAATTTAAAACAGGCAGCTCCTACAATGTGCTAAACAATAGGCATTACCCTAATTACCTACTGTCTCTATACTTTCTCCAGTGGGATGAGTATCCCTCAGCAGGTGATGTAAACATAATCATGCATATTCTGTGATCAAAGAGATTAGTGTTATAACTACTACTGCAACCTTAACTATGAAGCCATGACCATATTACTAGTATATTCCCAGGTAAAAGTTAATATATTAATACAGAAATAAAGGTAATAGTAGATATCCATAATTTAGGGTAAAGTACATTGCAGGAATATTGCAATTATCCCTATATTATTGAATATCCCTGTAATGCATTATAAACCCAGGAAACTCACATGAGGGTTAAGATGAAAAGGCATCCAAACAGGTTAGGGAAACATGTAGCTTATGTAACTCATCTCTTTGCCTCTTGTAATCAAAATGTTCATAAATGAAAAACAAACAAAAATAAAACAGCTCCAACCTGTAAATGCAGTTTAACTGGCCAGTTGGCCTTTTTGAATCACAAAAATACTGAAAAGCAGCTAGGTATTCAACTGCTCCCTCACATCTACCCAAAGAACCTTGCCCCTCTATTAGCATCCACACACCCCTGAGTGCCTCCCTACATTTCCTTCTTCACACTCCCCACAAAGTCTACCTGCTTCTTGCACCTCCATATATTCATCTCCATATTTATCAAATCACCTGTCCCTACACATTTCCTTTTATACTCCTAAAACATGCACACACACTGTCCCTACTCATCCCACCTCTTATATTTTACTTTGCATATGTATACACAACAGTTTTTGCCTTCTCTCTTCCTGTTTAGTACATGTGGCACAATTGAAAGTCCATTAAATGAAAACTTATCTGTCAGATGAGGCTGATACACTGTACACTTCTTTAGAGAAACTCACTAACAATTGCTGTACTTCAAACTAGTTGCCCTCTCCCAATGTTTTCAAAAGAATTTATGCCAGTACAATCACAGTCCATTTTGAAAAAGGCCATCTTACTAGTCTAAAATTGCTCCGAATGAGAGAGGAGCTATTGGCTAGGGACAGACATTACACATAATCCAGTTTAAGTGATCAGAAACTGGTTTAAACAAAAGAGATGTTCAGTGCACATAAACCAATTTGAGAATGGCTGAAACTGGTTTGAGATAAACCTGATTGAATGTAGTATCAGACTTAACTGATTTGGCTCCAACGGGTTTATGCAATGTCTGTCCCAGACCCTTTGCTAAGCTAGTCACCCCCAGCATCCCGGCATGTTCTCTGAGCTAGGCAGGGCTCTCTGTTCCACAGCAGGGCTGGCCCCTCCCCTCTGCTCCCTGGCTGCATCTCGGCAGAGACTTGCAGGCACAGTAGCATCTGCCTGGCTTCTCCCTGCTAAGGAGATTATTCCCCCTTCCCTCTGCCTTATGCAGACACCTTAGCATTAGCTGGCAGACCACATGCTGGCTACAGTCTGTGCTGTGGGAGATGACCAAGCCAGACAGGCTTTTGGAACTAATCAACAGGTAGCTTAATGTCCTTCCTTGGAAAGGCTGTTTAAGAAGAGCTGTTTGCCCCCACACCCTCACCACTCCCTGCTAAGCAGGAATTTCCCCCTCCCCTCTGCCTTGCCAACAGGTATCTGTGTATTAGCAGACCATATGCTGGCTACAATCCGTGCTGAATCAACGAGTAGAATCAACAGATAGCTGGTAATGTCTCTGTGATGTTTTCTTAATGGGTTGATAAACACTGAGTTGGGAGTGGAGGGGGGGGTGATAAACATTGTTATCAGTTCCCTGATGGACTAATCAGAGCACCCTGCCAGGACCTGAAGCTCAGTACTGTGCAAGGGAAGGGAGGACTACTCTAATGCCCCCCAGGTTCTAGCCTGAGCCATTTCAAGCATGTGACTGCATATCTGCCTGTGCAGTTACAAAGTGATTTAACCTAGCCAGGTTAGACTAACCTGCAAAGATGGAATCAGTTCAGGCTCAGGCTGAATGTCTGTCCCTAGCCACTGAGATCAATAGGAAATTGAAAGCCTTTTCTAAACAGCCAGCTATCTGTTAGCAACTTCTGACCACAGTTCTACTGAGAATAAAATAAATGGCAGCAGTTTTGAAAGATTGCTGTTCTACGTAGAATTCCCTGCTCTAGAGCAATAATTACCAGCCCTTTCTTGATAAAGAAAGTTTTAGTCATGAAAATGGCTATGAATCTTAAGAAGTTTCCATATGTAGTCTACACACAACATTCCAGCTTAAGGAAAGTTATGGAATCTCCTTGGCTGGATATTTTTTCAAGAAGAAGTTGAATAGACTTCTATCTGGGAAAGTTTGGGGGACATAAAATACTGAATCTATGCAGGGAGTTGGACTAAATGAAGTCCTTCCCATCCCTCTGATACTACAGAGTTCTTAAGTGTCTGCATCATAATGATCATTTAGGATAAAAGAAAAATGGTATGACACATGGTATTAATTTAAAGGGCACATTTAATTCAGTTTCTTTTACTTTGAAACTTGAAAATTCTCAGAAAATTCTATGTTCAAAAATGACTGCAATTTGGAAAATCATTTGCTGCATTCCTCCAATGTAAAATGATTAAATCACCACATTAGAAATGACACTTAAATCCCCTATAATTATAAAATCATGAGGCCACCTGTGGTTCAATTTTCATGTCTCTATTTATTACTGGTCAGATGCAAAGGCCACGGAAGCCAATAGAGATATCTGTAACACCTTTTCTTACAAGCAACAGCAGTTTTTTGATATCTGAAATAATTTAAACATACAAGAAGAAATCCTGACCCTATTTCAGTCCAAAGGGAGTTTTGCTGTTGACTTAAGAGGGGCCAGGTTTTCACCCAGAACCTGTGTGTGTACATGTACAAACAGACAATTGAATTCTATTCACATTGGTACCACTGGCAAATAAACAAATGTGTGCCAACTCTATGTACTGCGGAAAGAACTTGGTTAGCTAATCAGTCTTTATTGAATGATTCACAAGTGAAACATAACCACAGGAATGTGTAATTAGAGATGTCACTTGTATAAGTTGGATTAGTCTAAATATGACTGACTAACCAATTTCAAAACTTACTTTGTTGAATCAGCAGTCAGAACAGCTCTCATTTTGTGTAAATGTTAGTGTAAGAAGTACTGTGTTGTTCATCTTTATTACTGCAAAATTCAACTGATCTGTCATCAAAACAAGGAATTTTTAAGTAATTACAGACCATTATTAGCCCAAATGGTATTATACTTTGAGCACCATTAAAACCATGTATAGGAAGTAAATGCAAAGATGTTATTATTTATGCAACTTTATAATGTTGGTTATAAAATACCACCATATCCTTTAAAGTTTGGTTTTATAAATTTGAAGGGGGGAGGGGAGGAGAGGGGAGGGGACCATCAGAGAATCTAGTGATTCAAATAAGACCAGCACTACTCCCTAATAAAGATATAAAATTAAGGGATAATAGTAACCTCGTGCTGTTTTATGAGGCAATAATCCAGTTACCAATTCAACCCTGTAGCTTATCCCATCAAGAGAAGCGGATTAAAAACAGAAGAAGGAGGGCACTGTGATACCTATTATATTTGGATTGTTTTTAACTATTTTAAAAACTGTTGTTAAAGGTTTCAAACTCACAGACAAGGCAGTAAGAATAGAAATGTCTGTTTCTGTTCTTAAACCAGTCCTCACAGATGTGGCTTTAAAACTGATGAAGTGTTTTGTACTCCAAGATAAAATTTTTACCTTTTCGAGAAATCTCTTAATTAGAAGGATTCCTGGCTTCCTGATCAACAAACACATTTAAAAATATATATATTTTTATCTTGGTGAATAAAACACTTCATCGAGTTTAAAGCTGCAACTTCCAGAACTGTACCTAGAGCAGAAACATGTGTTTCTTCCCAGTGACACACCCATGTGTTAAGAACAATGAATAACAATTTGGAAAAGTCCTGTTAGTTGCTTGTAAGTCAGTCATTTGAGTTAAAAAAAGTTATATGTTAGAAGAAAGCCGTAATATCTCCAATAATGATGCGTTAAGCATGATCTTCCATTCAGGAGAATGTTAGGGTTACTAGAAACAGACTGATGGGGAGTGCTTCAGTTAAATTAAAATGTGGAGCATTAGTTAAACTGCAAT